GGTGCTATGCGCATGCAGAGATTATTCATATATTTAAAACATTGAATAAGTTTGTTACATTCGTTCAAAACTTCTCTATATAAATGTTTAGTCCATCTTAAAAATGCTTTAGTACAAAAATAACATGTACGATCTCCTACTGTTGAATTTAAGCCTATATAATGTTTAGTATCCCATTTTTTTTTTACAGTATTAACAAATAGCGTAACCTAGATATGAAGAATGTTTACTTAAATACATATTATTTTTAATTTACATAATATTTTTATTTCCTTTAAAACGTTGTGTCGACCATGGAGATGGAGAGACTCCAATCAACTATAGGTTGTGCATACAGACACTCACAAACACACACATATATAAAAAATAACATAGATATATGACCATCTCACTTTGTATTCTTCTTATTCTGAGCACAATATAGGGTTATAAGCTATATTATTTTCTCAACAAAAAAAAAGATTATAAACTATATGATTAGCTAAAGCTTGACTTTATTCAAAAAAGAGTAGATCGATCATCAATTGATGATCATATAATACTTTCACACCTTTTTCACATAAAATCGCTCGAGTATTTTAGACGCAAGTTCTCAGGATCCAAATACTCATTGTCGAACAGCTTGGGAGCATATCCTTTCTCTCGGTGGCCCTCAAAGTAGCATTTATGAAGAATCTCTTTCGAATCAAGAAACTCGCTTAGCCATTTCCCCGATGACCTCATATATCGTTTCATGTTATCATTGAAATCGACGTAATAGAGCCCGAACCTGATTCTGTACCCTTTCTCCCACTCGAAGTTGTCCATTAACGACCATATGAAGTAACCCTTCAACCTCACATTGTCCGTCCTGCGAACCATCCATCAACATAATTGCATGTGTCGTTCAAAGTGACCCAAAAATTTAGTGGATTTGAAAGAGTCCTACTAGAATAAACATGAGAAATGCCACGGTACCGATACAACTAAGAAAATGAATTTTTTTCGTTTACCTAATTCTAATAGTTCAGGATTTTGAGGCTTATACAAAAAGCTCTTAGGGCTGGTATTCTTTTTTTTGGGGTCACAACTCTTAGGGTTGGTATTCATTATTCACAAATTTAATATAAAAGAAACCCTAGAGAAAGGGCAGGAGCCTTGATTTTAAAATTTTATTGTTCTTGCCTTTCGTTCATCACGGATATTCACTCTAATTCACAACAACATGATATTTTTTCGCTCATACAAAACTCGCTTATTAATTAAAGATGTGAGAGGGGGCCTAATATGTTTGTATGCTTTTTGCTATTATAAAAAATTATTTTAAGTAAAAGTATTAGTTATTTAATTATTACCTTATGGATTTACCCATGATTAAGATGTGACTCTTGATGAACTCTTTCCTTCCGTAATCGTTAGTGGCTTCTGTTACATTCTTGTTCCCATCGTCGATTTCGTCCATCCCTGCCAGTTAAATTTTAATTAGGATATTGCAATTTACCAAAAACCATCTTATCATCATACTAATTACTACTCACTTACACACACATATGCATATGAGTATATATATTTGGATATTGTTATTGCCTTATTGGTTACCATTCTCCATAATGTAAATCTCTGGATCCATGTATTCTTCTTTGATATGTTTCAAGAGCTTTAGCAAACCCGCTGGATATATCACTATCCCCATTGAAGTTGACTACAAATTAAACAAGACATATATAAGTTATAAGTTGTTACTGATCACTCCTATTGGCGGAAAAAGGAAAGAAAAATCCGCCAATACTTATTTTAATTAAATTTCGTAAGCTTTATTGTTTAAAAAAGAAAAATCAAAAGTCAACCATTTTTCTATTTTTTTAGCTGAAATTGTTTTCCGCAAAAAAAGAGTCAGTTGGCAAAATTTAATATTATATAGTTCTTAGTAAATTTATTACCAGGGAAATTCATAATCTTTATTTTACCTATAATATATGTCCATGACTATAATGTCTATACATATATACGTATACAATTGTCCGGAGTACCTTAAGATGTGGTGAATGGTTTTGCTCAACTGCAAGAACCAAAGAAGCAAAAATATCATTATTCTTTTTCATATGAAATTAATGTTAATGCAATATTATTAAACTAACAGATCATTTCATATAGTTTAGC